TCCTGGTCAGGTATGTGCCGCTCCTTTGAGAATCATCTCGTTAGTGTAGATGACTTCCTAGGTTGTCATGATGTTCTCCAGGTAGCTTGTTCTATATATATATGATCAATAGATGTGACAATAATTGGATTGATATAATTAAAATATAGTATTTAATGAAAAAGTTGCATGTGGAAGAAAGTAGGTATTGGTATATTACCTTGTTTATCTTGCCGTTATATATCGTAGTAGTTTCTGCTTCTGAAGGTCACATGTGATGGCGTTGTGCATCAATGTGCCATTGAAGCCTTGCTGGTGTTTGCTTTTAGTCTGTATTTATTAGTGGGATTGGATTCCACCACCGTCAGATAGATTTGTTTTCAGATTATTTTGATGAAATCAGGAAGATAGATTAGTTAATTATAGATATAGGTTAGGCACACTTTTGGCTGGTGGCAGTATGTCTTAGAGATTTTTGGTGAGATGCTTGGTCATGTTTATTAATTACATAATATTTATTAAGTACTTCCTACAATTAACTTGATTTAAATCCAGTTGCACATATGTATAGAATTCACTTTGGCATGATTGAGAGAGATCATCGTGGCACAACTAAGGATGTCACATTAGTTTGATTCCACCGTTGGGTGTTTTCTTTTTCCCTCATTTGTTTTGTGTCCCAGTATGGCTGACTTTGAGCATTATACTGGCTTGTTGGGCTTCCCTCTTTAGAAATTGAATTGTGTGGATAATGATATTAAAAGGTTCATTCACCTGCAAATAAAAAATTAATGACATGATTGAGTATGGATATCTAGATGCGTACCTTCAATTGTTTTCATAAATTATAGTCTTCCACTGAGTTGTTTGTTGAAATTTTTTAGGATAATTTGGAAGTCCATACCATTGACGTTTGGCTTTTCATTTGTTGGTTTTCGATATTTTTCATCATGAATGGTGTCACCATTATAATTATGTCATTGCTCTGAAGTCCTTAACACATTGTTGTTGTATCTTTGAAATTATTTGATACGTATTTGCGGTGATCTTGAAAAGGAGGTGGTAATGTTATTATGTTTCCTTCCTGTTCAGTGCCGCTCCTTAATCGTCTCGTTAGTGTAGATGACTTCCTAGGTTCGCATGATGTTCTCCAACGTAGCTTTTTCTATATATATATGATCAATTGATGTGGCAATAATTGGATTGATATATTAATCAAAATATAGTATTTAAAGGAAAAGTTGCATGTGGAAGAAAGCAGGAATGTTGGTAGATTACCTCGTTTATCTTGCCATTATATATCATTGTAGTTTTTGCTTTTCAAGGCGCATGTGATGGCGTTGTGCATCAATGTGCCTTTGACGCCTTGCTGGTGTTTGCTTGTAGTTTGTATTTATTAGTGGGATTGGATTCCACCACCGTCGGATAGATTTGTTTTTAGATTCTTTTGACGAAATCAGGAAGATAGATTAGTTAATTATAGATATAGGTTAGACGCACTTTTTGGCTGGTGGCAGTATGTTTTAGAGATTTTTGGTGAGATACTGGATCATGTTTATTAATTGCATGTCCTCGTGATGAATTCATGGGTTTTCAAGATCGGTTGGCTAGAGGTTAATATTTAACAACATGTTGTTATAGTACCTGTTTTTTATTTTACTTAAAAGCAATGTAGATTCTAGGCTACACTCTTTGCTACTACAATGCAAAAAAAGTCATTATAGCTTGGACTATGATAATTAAGATATTAAATTTATTATACTAATAGAAATTATTGTGTAGTACTATTGTTTTACAAAAACATATTGCGCTTAAAATTAGATTGCCAATGTTGATATGGAGTAATGTTATAGTCAATGTATACTTATTTAAATAACAATGGTTATTAATTATTTGTCATAATAACTTATATGGGTTTTTAAACGTAGATTTATTGTTATTTTTATTTTATAAAGTAGATTACCCGTTTTCAAATGGCATAATATTTTGTTGGAATATAATAAACTTATTTTAAATAACAATGGTTATTAATTTATTTATCATAATAACTTATATTATCATTTACATGTGGATTTATAAATGTTTTTATTTATTTTTTTATAACAGCGAAGGTTGATAATTTGGATAATCAAAAGTTTTACTTTATATTATGTTTGTTACTGACATATGTGGGTAATTCTGCTACAAACTTAAGAATACTTTGCATTATTGTCGGGTATCGATAGTAGGAATACCCAAAGCAAGGAAGTTAGCGCCCATGCTGACTTCCCCGGATGGCTCGAGACGTATTAAAAGATCTCGCCCGACCCTAAGGCAGCGGACTCCGTCTCGCCCGACCCCAAGGCCGCGGAATCTATCTCGCCCGACCTCAAGGCCGCGGGCTCTGTCTCGCCCGTCCTTAAGGCCGTGGCCTCTGTCTTGCCCGACCCCAAGGCCGCGGCCTCTGTCTTGCCCGACCCCAAGGCCACGGCCTCCGTCTTGCCCGACTCCAAGGCTGTGGGCTCCGTCTCGCCCGGCCCCAAGGCCGCAGGCTCTGTCTTACCCGACCTCAAGGCCACGGGCTCCATCTCGCCCCGCCTCAGGCTCCGTCTCACCCGACCTCAAGGCCGTGGGCTCCATCTCGCCCGGCCTCAAGGCCGTGGGCTCCGTCTCGCCCGACCCCAAGGCCACGGGCTCCATCTCGCCTGACCTCGGGCTCCGTCTCATCCGGCCTCGAGGACGCGGGTTCGTCTCGTCCAACGGGGACCCATACCGCCGCCAACCACTACAAGTCCAAGCGTATGGGCCTGGGTCAAAACTCTGACGCCAGAGAAGAGGCTGGCACGCCTCGATGTGACCCGTGGCCATGACGGGTCATACCTGGGGATTCACATCAAGAATAGTGTCGGACGTGCCGGTGCTGTTCTGCCTAACCCTCGTACGGACGCTGACAGGCGCGTCAGTTCACCACGACGTCCATCGGGACGGAGTGGAGTGCCATGACCGGCAGATGACGCCTGAGCATGGCGCCAGTGACGAACAGGGCCGCGACATGGAGCCGTCTCTATTGACATCTACAGGATCAGCGGGACCAGCATGAAGGAGAAGAAGGACCCGACGACCCTGGAAGCCTTCCTCTCTCTCTGGTTCTTTTACTTTTCCTCCTCTGTAACCCTCGCTTTCCCTTCGTCTATAAAAGGGGAAGCAGGGTGCCTCATGGAGGGGGGCGAAAAAATACGAGATCAGAACAGAAGAGCACGACACGAGCACACGACTGAGTGGCAATCGAACTCTCAGCACCCGTTCACTCCTTCCACCGGAGACTTGGGATCCTTTTTCTCTCTCGTCTGTTTGTAACCCCTACTGCAAACCAAGTGCCGGTAACACGAGCAGCAACGAACTGGACGTAGGGACGTTCCGCCTGAACCAGTATAAACCCTTGTGTCCTCCGAGCATACCATCCGAGCTAGACGCGCAAATACAAATTTACTCGTCGGTTGTCCGAAAACATCGACAATTATCTTTCATAAAAATAAATGTAGGTAATTTAAATACAAATTTATGGGCTATATATAATAAAGCAGTCTGGCGGCATACATGTATCTTGTTTGCTGGAGTGGATAGATTGCCTCTGATTTTTTTATTGAAATGTTAACTTTCTATCAGATTTTTTATTAATAGATTAATTAACTATTGAAATGTTAACTTTCTATCAGATTTTTTATTAATAGATTAATTAACTGAGACATGATGGGGTACTACATATATTATATTTTATTAATACATTACCAAGTGAATATGATCAGACTTATCTAATATTTTATATTAATTATAATAGTAGACGTCAATAAAATAATATTTTTTGATATTTTAATGACACATATATTTTGTTTTATTAATAAAGATATAGATATTCTGTTAACTAATTGTGAACGTGGTAGCAGATATTTTGTGAACCATGTGACGTGATTAATATGACTCAACTGATATTTTACTATCTTTAGTTCTCACGCACGACCCATCAAGATCTTCTCCAAACTGTTAATTCTTTTTCCTCCTAAAAAATGATTTTTTATTTATAATGGCATAGGTGGGTAATTTTCTAGCTAACAAAAATAGATCCATTGGTTATCGATGGCTAGAGTTATTGATTTGATGGCCCGATCTTTCTGATTACCGTGAAATTTTCTAGCATTTATCTTTTTTTCTAGCGCATGAGGATTAACGTGGAGGCTCCGTTAGGGCCTCTAATTAGTACATGTATCTTGTTTGCCGACATGGATAGATTGGCTCTGATTTTTTATTGAGATATTAACTTTCTATAAGATTTTTTCTTAATAGATTAATTAACCGAGACCGTGATGGGGTACTACAGATATTATATTTTATTAATACATTACCAAGTGAATATGATCAGACTTATGTAATATTTTATATTAATTATAATAGTAGACATCAGTAAAATGATATTTTTTGATATTTTAATGACACATATATTTTGTTTTATTAATAAAGATATAGATATTCTGTTAACTAATTGTGAACGTGGTAGAAATGGTTATCGATGGCTAGAGTTATTGATTTGATGGCCCAATCTTTCTAATTAACGTGAAAATTCCTAGGATTTATCTTTTTTTCTAGCGCATCTAGTGAGGATTAATATGAAAGCTCTGTTGGGGCCACTAATTAGTAATAGTAAGATGCCTCTCGGGTGTCCTCCTTCCTTCCCCCACCTATAAAAGGAGAAGCTAGGGTTCAGAGTAGGCGGATGATTAATGTTTCTTGCTATAACATATACAAAGAAAGATATAGGGTTGTTACCCTCAGTGGTGGCTGGAACCTGGAAAATCTCGTGTTCGTTTTCCATCTGTGAGGATTGAGAGATATTCTATCATTTTGGACGCTGACAGTTGTTGAAGGTGCATGGTGGGTACATGCTCCTTGTCGGGCACATCAAAGTGTCAACACAAATGTTCAGGCTAAGAACACCTTTTATTTTTCTGGCATGTTCTTGGTGCCACAAAAGTCACATTTTACAGAGCCTACACTAGTGGTGTAGCCCCATGTTTCGGATCTTTGTTGCAGCAGCATTCATCCTTGTACGCATCTTTCTTGTTTATGCAGTGAGCACCAACACCAGTGTAGCCCCGTCGTGTACAAGCAAGCCAGCACCCATAAGGTTTGCAATTTATGTACCGCTGGCAGTCGATCTCGGGCGGTTTATTTTCCTGGCAGCAATTGAAGCCTACATATACATATCCAACATAACAGACATCAAACCAGAGAGTATCAGAGACTTCCTCCTGCAGCACTAGAAGCCTACATATCTAACACGTTAATTGCATGAAATTTACTGGGACACTAATTAATGTTTAGATATCATAAAAAAATGAAGTATACGTAAAACTATGTTTTACCTGAAAGGCTAGCAGCTCGGCAGGAGGGGAACGTAGCAGACATGATCCCAAGAACCAAGAACAATTTGGCCCACAGGTACACAATCCTTGTCGTAGAGATCTTGAGTAGTGCCATGAAGAAGAGAATCTTGCTACTCCCCTCTTTCTGTGACAAGGAGAAGATTTCTTATGTACTCGTATTTATAGGGAAGCGCAACCATCCTCATTTAAAAATGTATCATAATAAGATTTATGTGATCTACTAGATATCTTGCACTAGTGTTTTGATATCATAAACTATCTTATTCTACTACAATAAATACTTGAGTATCCAAACTAATCCCATACAAAAATGTGTTGCCTTACATTTATGGTAGCTACTATATTACACGAATATCCTCTTAGACGCTATTAAATACATGTATCTGGAGCAGTCCCCCATCCACTGTCGATTGAGCAGTCAATAATACAACTAAAAAATGTCAGGCTGGGCCCACTTTTTGTCGTAAAGTATATATTGAGACAAAAATAGTGCCATACATGTCAATATGTCATCACATATAAACCATCACCACATGTACCTTGTGAAGTTTTCCCACAAAGATGTGTGCACATTCTACACAACTTATATTGAAAATTTTCTGACCCTTTTATGACACCAATTGTATGTCACAAAATAATTAGTCAACTTGTGAAAATACCATTCTTCACAAATACCAAAGGCAGACTATGGTTAGGGTGGTTTTTTGTGATGAAATACTATGCTAGAACAAGCAATCACGGTCAGAGCGTCATTTCCAGTCGTGCTGGAGCCAGTGGTGATTGCTTATCACCGGTGGTTCAGAAGCCTAGGATCCATAAAATTTATGGAAAGCAGTATTCGCCCAGCCGTGAAGTCACCTATCAATGATAACTCAAACCACCACCCAGAGGTGAAATATCAGTGCCAGGTCATGCCACAGACCTGTAGTGATAGGTGTCATATCACTGTCGGGTAAGTCTATGACCTAACATTGATATATCATTGCCAGGTCAAGCCATGAGCTCGAAGTAATATTTTCATATCACTGTCGGGCTTTATGTTGACCCGACAATGTTCTTTGACCACTGGATCCACCTAACCTTCATAATTATTGATTCGCCATTGTTGATCCTTCTATCACCATTGCTTCGGGTTATAAAACTGTCGTCTGGATGTCCCCACATACGGAGGCCAGGTTGGCTGCATGTGACAGGCCTCTTGTAGTCCAACAAATTAATTGGTTTCACCATTTGTGTATCTATATCTAATACTAAATAGCCAAAATTTCTTCCACTAATTTTTTCGTCCAGCCTAATCACCGATTCCATCTCGGCCACCTGCTCATGAAGTCCCACATCTATTTTTTTTTTCTGTGGAAACGTTCCCGTCCGTGTCCTTTATCTCGCAAAGTCCCCGCATCCGTTTTTTCTTCCGTGAAGACGTTCCCTTCCGTGTGCATTGTCGAGTTCCTTTTTTCTTTTTTTTTTCCGCTTCCACTTTCCCGTGTTTAGTTGTGACTTTTTTGTTGCTTCTTTTTTATCTCCTGTTTTTTCTTATATATAAAGAAAATAGAAAACAATAAATATAGTATTATGAGTCTTTGAACTCCTAATCCTTTTCCTAAAAAATAAATATTTCCATCACTAAGCCCCGTTTGGAATACAGGAATTTTCCCTGTTTCTAAATAACTTCCTATGAAATGTCTGCATAATTCCTGTGAAATTCATGCGTTCAAAATAGGCCCTGAGTTGTTGATATAATTTTAATTATATTAGGAATAAAACTTAGTACTATTAGGATCTGGACTAGGCAATGGGAGTAGTTTGTCATCCAATCTAATCTATATCTATGTACCTATCTATGTTCGTATCTATATCTACATCTATATAATCACAATAAACGTATCTCCAAGCTATCCACATATATCAATACAAACCTCCAAGTTGTCTGCATATACCAGTGCGATTATCAACGAGGACTAACATGTAAAAATCGAGAGAGGTCTTAGTCATACTCATCAATGAACAGACCAATTTTTGACACGACAACAACTAACCCCTTACTGACTTAAGATATTAGAATTACATATTTGATATTCACTACAAGAGATAGGGCCTTCTATGACTAACAGATTGTGACAATAACATGCTTTTTCATGTCATTGTACCCCTTCTATGACACACCAGGGACAATGTGGCTTTGGTCACATAAGGTGGGTCACTATCCCCCTTATGTGAACCCAGTTGTCATGAATCTTGGTGACAGCTGCATGTTTGTCACTAGGTAATGACAACAGTATTTGTCACAATATATTAGACAGGGTGTTGACAAATGTCTGTTGACATGGCAAATCTAACGTGGCACTTGACGTGGCGCGTGGCGTGGCATAGGCAGTATGACGAAAATGGTTGTCATAAAAACAAATTTGGCTCAGTTGGCCATATAGCATGGGCTGGTTTTACAATTATAATTGGACTAAGCCCAATTAGACCACATGTTGTGGCCGACCATTTTTTGGTCCTATTCTTGTCCGCCTTTTCAGGTTTTTTCCCATGTAAAGGCCCAACACCATTTTAGCCCACTGTATATCAGATTATGGGCCAAGCCTATATTAAACATCATCACAAATAATAAACCACATCGAACAGATCAATTCCTCAAAAAATGTTTCATACAACATGTACCATAAATGTACCATACTGACCATTCACTAGCCTTACGGAATGCCTCACATTCAAAATTCACAATACAACAGTACCGATGTTTCATACGAAAAGGTCAGGTCAAAAGAATACAAAATAGCTGTGAAAAAACATTCAATCGTTATTCCTTAATCCATGCATTTGGGTTGGCTTTTCCTGTGTGCAAATAAAGCATATTAAATGATGAAAGAGAACGATCAGATTCATGCAAAAATAGGGTAAAGAAATAGTTATGGTGAAATATGCGGGTACAAAGAACTAACGAAATTCATTTATTAGCTAGACTCAGTAGTACAGAAATCTTTTTTTACAGACGGCTCACATTTCTAATAGAGACGGATCACATAAGAATAAGTATGACAGGAAGCACTGTAGCACACCAACCGTCTCTTAAAATCTATTTTCAGAAGCTGCCTATTAACAAAACCGACTCTAGAGATACATGTATTTTTAGGGACGGTTTTCTTAAAAGAATCACCCTTAAAAAATATATTTTTAGGAGCGGACGGCTTAGAATCCCCACTAATAATAGCTCTATTTTCACACACAGTGGCATTAAGAACCGCGTCCAGAAATAAATTGTTAGAAATGAGCTCCTCTAGTATGTTCCACTCGTCCTCCATTTCTCTCATCTCTGATCTCCCTTTCTTCTCTAACTGCACACAAAAAACTGCACACGGAGGGAGCAGCAGTGCACGCGCCGGTGGAAGAGGAAGAGTGAGTGGGGATGGGTCTCACTTTGCAGGCCGCTGGCATAAAAGAATGAGAGAATAGATCCTAAATAATGACTGACTGGGCCAACTGGGCCGGCCCAACAACCGCTTTCCCTTTTCGTCCACAGTGGCACGCGACGGTTAACTCTCATGAAATTTGTATTACCCTAGATTCAATACCGTGAGGACTAATGTGTGACAGTCGTGCGTCACGCATCTTTTTCATGAGGGTAAAACCATGTTCCATGACGGTATTTCCACTCTCACAGAATCTCAGCTTTCTGGTAGTGGGCGGAATCAGGTCATGAACAATCTAGTCTTTTGAGCCATGGACATCCTCCCTCTGCCCTCGGCTGCTCCACGTGAATTGCAAAGGCAAGTTTGCCACTACTATTGAGTTTGAATCCACCGCAGCAATTGGGGGAAAATTGGTGGTGACGAATTTTCTTCTGCATCGTCGTAGCATCCGGCTGGGAGTACTTAGTGTCGGTGTTATGAGAACCGACGAGTACATTTAGCGCCGCGTTGCTCAATGAAGTCGATGGTTGGCATTTGAGACACCAGGAACTATATTGGTTCTAGATGAAGCCCTACGTCCAGTGCCGGAGACTACGGGTACGTGTTCCTCGAGTTCAAGTGCTCCATGTTAAGAATATCCAATAGGATCATCTGACCGCAATATCTGGTTGATTGATATCTCCTGAAGATTGGTTGTGCGCTCAGGCTTGGATTGTGGGTGAAGGCAAGTATCATGGCTTCGGTTAGATAGGATAGGTATCTCCTGATTGATGTAATCTTGTGATGTAATCTAGAGTTACCAAAGTAGTTAGCTTCTCGTTGTACAAGTTGTACCGCCACGCCAGGGGCTCTCCTGGCTAAATTAAAACGAAGCCGTGAGCTTGAGAGGGCATCACGTTCCAACTATTTTCACATGGTAATCAGAGTTAGGTTAGTCCACAATATTCTCGATGGCTTCCTCTTCCGCGCTTCAACAATCGTTCTCTCACTAGTACAGAAACGGGCTGTACTCCCGGTTCTCAACCCCTTTAGTCCATGTTTTGGAACCGGGAGCACGAATCCGGGACTAAAGGGCCCCTCTTTAGTCCCGGTTTCGCGCCCGGGACTAAAGGTACCAACCGGGGCTAAAGAGGCCTCCCGGCCTGGCCACGTGGGTCGGCCCTTTAGTCCCGGTTGGTATTACCAACCGGGACTAAAGGTTTTTTTTTCTTTTTTTTGTTTCTATTTTCAATTGATGAATCATTTTGGTTTTCGAATAGGTTTTGGAATACGCATTCTACGCTGCTAATAATATACGTATTCTACACGTTTATATGTTCGAACATTTTGTACAAACTAAAGTATGAAACTAACATATATATTACATGCATATACATATATTGTACGTTATTTTATGTACATATAATATATATATATATTACAAATAAATCTTGCATTGTATATTCTATCATATCCTTGGGATAACAAATTCACTCCATCTGGTTTGGCTTCCATGTTTCGTTCACGTCATTGTAGAACTCGTCGGCGGGATTTAGGACCTGGTCATTAAGAAATCCTGCTATGGTCTTTTGAATTGCTTTTAGTTGGTCACGTCGTATAACTTTTTCCTTCAACCATAGATTCTTCAATAAAAGTTAAAGGAAAAGTATTAATATATATATATGTGTGTGTTTGGTCACGT